TAGGCTGGGTGCATGGAAAGGTAGCCAAGATCATGATTTTAGGACAGTCTGAAATGCAAGTATTGTATAGTGACTGTATAATGGTTTGGCCAGTATCTGCTGGGCAGTGTAAGGGCCTGGAGGCTAAAACATACGAAGAACGGTTGCAGGAATTGGGTATGACTAGTGTGGTGAATAGAAGGACCAGGGCAGACATGATAGCAACCGACCAATATCTAAGGGGCTGCCACAAAGAAGAGGGGTAGCAATAGCACTTAGACTTATATACCACTTCAAGGGGCTTTCCAGCTCTCTCTAAGCGGTTTACAGAGTCGGCTTCTTGCCCCTAACAGTTTGGGTCCTCATTTTACTGACCTCAGAAGGATGGAAGGCTGAGTCAACCTGGAGCCTGGTGAGATTCGAACTGCCAAATTGCAGTCAACCGGCAGTCAGCAGAAGGAGCCTGCAGGGTTGCACTCTAAGCACTGCGCCACCATGGCTCAAATGTGTGTGTCTGTGTGTCAAATTATTCTCCAAAGCACACAAAAGCACACCAAAAGCAATCGATGGAAACAAACCAAGAGGACCAACCTAGAAATAAGGAGAAATTTCCGGACACTGAGACCGATGAACCAGTGGAATAGCTCCCCTCCAGAAGCTGTGGGTGCTCTATCACTGGAGGCTTTCAAGAAGAGATTGGACAGCCATTGGTCTGGAATGGTATGTAGGGCCTCCTGCTTGAGCCGACTAGAAAGCCAGGTGGGGGAGTCTGCAGGGAAGGAGCTTTTCTGGCTGGGGGATTCTGGGAGTTGAAGTCCTCCAGGCTTAAAGTTGCCAAGGTTGGAGAGCCCTGGACTAGAAGACCTCCAAGGTCCCATTCAACCCTCTTCATCTTTATTCAGCGTTGAGCGTTAGGGTTGAGTGACCGTCTTGTAGACAAGAGATTTCCAGATATTTCATGGGTGACTCCAGCTGGCATCTTCCGACTGCCTTGCCTCTGAAGCGATGGGGATGTCGGATTGTAATGGATGAGAAGGGGATTTAAGCAGGGAACCGATGAAGAGCTGCAGACCTCAGTGAGGAAATCTGTGGGGTTCAACGAAGTTGAGATTATGGGTAGGACCTTGCAATCTGATCCCTGCTCTTTTCTTTTACACACACAAACACACACACACACAGCCACACACACGTTTCTTCCTTGCTGAACTAATGCCCTTTCTTGGGGTTGCTCTCTCTCCAAGATGTTCTGCAGGAAATTCAAGCCAGGCTGCCACCTCGCCTCCATCCATAGTAATGCAGACTCAGCTGACTTGGCCGAATACGTCTCCGACTACCTGAAAAGTGATGGACATGTCTGGATTGGACTGAACGATCCACGCAAAGTAGGTCCCTTCCTATTGGCAATATTTTGCAATTCATTTGTTATTGTTCCTAAAGGGGAGTTTTTTGGAAGAATCTTCCAGTGGGAGGTAAGGATCTCTCTGCTAAAAACTTTTGCCTTGGACAGGAACCATTGAGAGGCTCCAACCCTGTTCCTCCTGCCCCCTCACCAACCCTTCCTGCCCACTTGAAGAACTGACTGCTGTCTTTAAAGTCCCAAAGGGACGGATTTTATCCCAAATTCATCTCAGAATTAGGGCGTCCTCATGCACTCAGGGCCTCCTTCAGCCTGACTTCCTCTTTTTAAAGCAGGGGTCCCCAAACCTGGCCACTTTAAGACTTGTGGACTTCAGCTCCCAGAATTCTCCAGCCAGCTATGCTATGCTGGCTGGAGAATTCTGGGAGTTGAAGTCCACAAGTCTTAAAGTGGCCAAGTTTGGAGACATCTGTTTTAAAGCATTGAATGGCCTCTGATCCTTGTTGAAACTCTGATGGACTAGAAACTCAGGGACTGCAGGGCCCAGCCTGGGAGGGTCATGCAGCTTTAATGCTGTCTTAACATTTTTTTTCTAACCACATATGCATTTTCGGTCAAAATGTTTTTGCTTTTGGGCATGTCCACCACAGGTGATAGTATGTGCCTGGTTTCTGATTACATTTGCAACATTTGGTGGACATATTTTTCAGCATTTTTGCTAGTCTTGCTGGTGGTAGGAGCCACCTATAAAACATTAAGCACATATGGAATGTAAAGAGAAAACCAATAATTAAGAAAAAAC